TTTAGTGGAACAATGTTTTTTTTCATGTACATCTATATATAATAATTCTAATGAAGGAAGATTATCTATATTTGTCATCATTTCTGTTCTATTTAAAAATAATTTTTTTAAATTTTTTAAATTTTCACTATTTTTAAAATGTAATTTTTCAATAGATTTTCTAACAGTTCCAAATCCAAATTCTATTAATTTTGAAATATTATTTGAATTTAATAATACATTACTAATTGATTCTAATGTATAAATATAGGTAATATCAAGAAATAAATATTTTAAATATGGAAATGAAGAAAAATCAAATGTAAAATTAGATAATTTTCTATTAATTGAATAAGATTCTATTATAAATATTCTAATATCAATGAGATTGGATATAGTTGTTGTTGTTGAAAGTGATGGATTAAATATTCCATTTAATAATTTTACAATATTTTTATGATTTTCAGGTAATAATTGTAAATGGAGTGATTCTAATTTATGACAACATGTACTAAGAAATGATTCTGTACTAATTAAACATTCTGTTGCTCCCATTCCTAAACTTAAATGTTTCAAATTTGGAAGTACTTGAAATAGAGCACGTAAATCTTTCTTTTTCATTTTATAATTTAATCCCAATTCAGTGATATTATTGGAGGAATGTTTTTTTATCATTGAATGGAATGGTATTATATTTTTAACCAAACAACAAGAATCTACAAATAAACTTTGTAATTTCTGAGAGAGTAAAATAGTTTTAAATGTTGATTTAGGTACTGTGTATTAAATAAAAATAATGTTATGGAAGAAAAGAAATTAAAAAATTCAAATGAATTGGTAATAAATGTTGGAGTAATCATTGAATAAGAGGGATATAATTTGTAATTTGTAAATTCCTTTCGGAATGGTTGTTGAGCAACAAATCTCCAATATTTACAAACAAGTGACATTATAATAAAATCTTGTTGATTGAGAAATTGAAATATTATTATTAACATGTCATTGGGAAGACAATGAGTATTATTGTTAATATTATTAGTATTGGTATTAGTATTGTTATTGTTGTGTGTGGTGGTTATTGTTGTCAAAGCCTTGTGAAAAAAAGAAAGCATTTTTTTAGATTTGATAATTGAATCAAGTAATATGATTTCCTTTTAAAAAGAAACATTGAATCGTTCGTTAAAATTTTCCAAACATGGCAACCAATTGAATTTAGACATTAAATCAGCCAAATGAAATAGAATGAAAATTATACAAACAAAATCAAGAAGAGCAATATTCAAAACTATTGAATTTAATCCAAAAAGTCAGAGGAAGAAACAATAGAGGTCTCTAAAGATATGAAGAAATGGAAAATTCTCGTTTGTAAATTAATATAACATTTAACATATCCTAGTATTTATTTCCGAAAAGTCATG